TAAGATTTGACTAGATTGAAAGCATCCATTTTTCATTCGGTTACGGCAAATTTGCAAACTAAAGTGCAAAACCACTGAAATTGCATTGAAAGGTGCATCAATTTACTAGGATAGCAGAACTATGGAGGAGAGAAAAAGCTAGTCGTGGAAATATAAATTTATAGGAAGCAGCCGACGACAATCGTTTTTCTCTCTTTCACGTATGCACTATAAAACGGAAGCGGTAGGAAACAACATTAAGCGCAGTCTAGTACTAGACTTTACCCCTTTCCTGCTACCACAATTTTCACCTTCCCATACAAGAGAGAGAGAGAGAGAGAGAGAGGTGCACAACATCCTACGACGTGAATAAGCAAATTTTGGTTTAGTGAAGTGGTGTGAGGTACCTACCTAATTCCATGGGAGTAAGGGGGAATTGAAATGTGCAGGCTGTCCTTTTCCTGTTTGCATTGAGCTGCATGCAGGAAAATAACGGTACTGTTTACTCTAATTTCTAATTATCCCTGTCCCCCGCTGTGATGACCTAGGTTTCCCAACATTTAAAAACATGATCTCATTATTCATTCGATAGTAAGAAGCAAGTATTAATGCTATTACATGCTACTAATGCGCATATATTGCGACAACGTTCGCGCTAAGTAGTAAGTTTTGTAGTTATTGGAGAAATTATTTATTTATACGTGGGGCTCACTATAAGTTTCCGGAATGAATAAGAAAAAATGGTCATAAATGAATTCATTGTTTCTCAAAATATTCTTCGTTAGCGTTAATGCACTTTTTCATACGAATTAACCAATTTTCAATTCTCTCCTCCGTGATAATCTCTGAAACATATTTTTCATACAGCCTCTTCAGGTGATGAAAATCGTTGACGGCGTAACTGGTTCTTAATTTTTGATTAATATAAAATAAATTAAATAAATAAAAGTCATAAGGTCAACGTTGTTCACCTTCAAAAATTCATTTGTCTGTCTGGCCGTGTGAGAACTGGTATTACCGTGGTGCAAGATGATACGGCGTTTACGGTTTTTTTACGGATTTTGTCAATAACTTTCGGCAAACAAGTGGTCGTGTGCCAATAACATTCACGGCACAACGATTTTCCAAAGCAACAGTAGCCACGTGTCCAGTTTTATTAAAAAAAGAAGCAATCATCCGCTTAGAGGCACTTTGCACGCGCGCCACTTTGGTTGGTTTCGTCTCCTCTCGAAAGACCCATACGCTCGATTGCTGCTTTGTTTTGAGATCGTAACTATAAATCCATGTTTCATCACCTGTTTTTATTCTCTCACTAAATTTGATGCCCTTTCGTTGAATCTGGTAAACACGGCATTACACCAAGTGACGCGATCAGTTTTTTGAGCCTCAGTCAAATTGTGTGAGATCCACCGAGAGCACAGCTTTTTCACACTCAAATGTTTGTGTAGTATTGATTGTATTTGAGTCATGCCTATGCCTAAAAATCAAAGTATCTCATGGTATGTCATGTGCCTGTCTGTTATGATCATACGGCGCACAGGCATTGTTGTTTTTGTTGTTCACAGCAGTGGACGACTGCGTTTGAATTCTGCAAACCAGCTATAAATAGTCGTCTTGCATGGTGCTACATCGCCAAAAGTTTGAAGCCGAGGGAAGCTCCGCTGAGCTGTTATATTACACTTAAAGTCGTAGAAAATCATACTACGAAAATTTTCACGAGTTAAATCCTTGGTGATATAGACAATCAATTTCTAAAATGACGCCTCAGTGTAAAAGAAAGTGACAGTCAGATGAAACAAACTGTATTCTACAGCCAAAGAGTTTTATTTTCAAATGTTGTAATTACTTTTTAAAATTGTTTATGTAAGTGGCCCTATGTATGAGTATATAAGAAGGAATATTAGGGATTAACCCGCCCAACAGTGAAAGGCAAGTCAAATAAAAAATAAGTTCAATTTTTTAAGATTAGAAGGATTGTAGATTTACCTAAAACTGGTGTTAGCGGTTCGGTCTTACATAGGTATATAAAATACTTATAGGAACTGAAAGTGATCCTCCTCATTCTCAACATGCTTCAAGAGTGATTATCTATAATATTAATTATTTAAATAAGTTTAAAGTAAACGATATTCACTATTTCGTAGTTTGAGAAACTCTGCATCACTCCTACCCCACTCTACCACGGCTTAAGTTGCATTTAACTTACCCCCTGGGCCCCCAACCGATCGCAGCGTCATGTAGTTCTTTCCAACTCTCTTTAGTTATTTATTCCTAGTACCTAGTCTTTGCTTCCATGGCCCGATATCATGATATACATAGACGTTAAAAGTCAAAAGAAAAAAATGTCGTTTCGTCGGTTCGTGCAGTTGTTCTTTTTCAATTATCCTTTTTTTATTGCCATGGGTTGAATTTATATAATTTTTATTATAATTATAAAGAGAACCTTAACAACGATGTTTCATTTTAATCAAATCTACACAAAAAGGAGATAATAATGATTTTTGTCGCCTTGTATAAATTGCACTTGCAATTTTGCTTGCACTACAAGCATTTTCTACCTGAACGTGTTACAACCGTGTACCAAGAGAGCATAAAAGACAAGAGTGATCACAGAAAGTAGTATAAATATAATACGTAGCCATAAAGACATTGACCTAATGCATAAAGCAATCTAATTTTAGCATGCTTGTTGACTAGTTGGGCTCCAACGCTATGTAGAAATTGCATGGCGTTACCAGGATGAGCATGAACAGGAAGAGTATGACCACTGAAGTGATATTTCGGGCTTTTCAAAATATTTCCGAGTTTGGCAAAATAGTTGTAAAAGCATAATTGAAAATCTATGATTTGAACTAATTTTTCATCCGCACTTAAATTTTTAATTAATAATGAATTAAGTTCAATAGCATCGAGTTCTAAGGTTTTAGCAATAGAAACTATTTTGAGGAATATAAAGATTTTTATATTTGATAAAGAAAGATTTTATATTTGTTTTCCTTTCAAATAAAAAATAAACCAACATTTTGGGCCCTTTGTAGGTCCTATTTGCCATATTGATGGCCTGTCTCCAGTAGTGGAGAGGCATTTTAAGAAGAAGAGCAGGTCCTATGGCCACGACTAACTAAAATGGTAATCAACCAGTTATGTCTAATATTTATGCAAACTATCGTATTCTGAACTATGCAAAAGTTATTGATTTAAATATTTATTATTATTTTAGGAAAGAACATTCCAATTTACACTACATGTAATTTGCAAAATTTTTAGATTTCTTTTTCATTTTTCTACACTTATGGCTATATCTTTTGTTATTATTACTATTTTGAACAAATCAACGGTTTGAGGTCTTTACAGGCCAAACTCGCTACATTCATTTTGCCCCAAGAGGCAAACATTGACGAATATTTAATATTAAGAGTCTATGATACATTTGCGATAGATTTACTATAACCACCACCCTCACGCTTCCATGAAAATCGCCTACAGACCTCCCTTCGGGGCATTGTGGAAGTCTAGACTGATCAATAAAATCACTGTCCATCGTATCTACTGTAGTAAGGTGGAAAGAGAAAGATATCTGCACTTATACGTGTTAGTAATAAATTGCATCTCTCTGTTCCACCTTATACGTGAATATGACACGCCAGTAAGAGACAAACGTCGCTCACTCTGTTTTGAATAACGAGGTGCAAAGATTGAATAGTACCCAGGAAGTGGGGTGGATGGCCCCCCCTAGCCTTCTAAATTAGGGTAGTAGAGCAGTAGCATACGCAACTCGTAAACAAGGTTCCAAGTTCGCTTCATGGCATACACCTGAATTGTAGATTATGACGTGACTGCCCCTTTTTTTGCACTGTCTAGTAGGAATGTTTGTCTTGTAGTTCTGAATGTCGAGTAGGATCATCGATATATGAATTTCTGATTCTACTTACTTATTTAATTTTAGTTTTTTTTACTGCACTATTAGAATTACTCAAAACATAGCAAAGAGAGTGCACAATTACTTACGCTCATCAGTTTAGATTTAAAAAATTATTATGAGTGGTCTAATTCTTATGTAAAATAAGAAAACCTGCGGTGGTTGAGCCCCCACAGTACTGAGTAGTGTAATGAAAAGCAACTAAGGAACCATGTGGCAGCACTTTTCCGTCCATAATATTACGTTATTCTAATTACCTACCCGCAAAGGGTGCTAAAATAACAGAAATACCTGATGTGAAAGCCAGTTTCTTTGAGCATTTATGACTGTTTAATATATTATTATATTTGACACGAATCAATCGCAATAAACTTTTGTAAAATTAATTCCAATCAGTACTGACGTTGATGTCTTTCGTACGGAGCAGATAGAGACTGTCCTTTGTGAACAATATTTAATAGGAATTAAAACTACTAAATTTGGAAGTTATACAAAAAAAAAATCAAGAATACCTCACTATTATTCCACTAATATTCTTTATTAATTATCTTTTTCTGTGTACATTGTCCCGAATATTATTTCTTACTGCCTACTCGATGACATAAATAACTAGTTCATATTATTATTTTTTAGGGAAGAGCAAATGAAATTCCATTTGTGCCGTATATGTATATTTGAATAAAGTTAAGTAGTATCAATATAATGTCTCAAAGTATTGTGAATAGATATAAAATTCCCGAAGGCTGTTACAATGTGACTCTGAACATCGGAATCGTCAGAGACTTAAAAGTTCCCTTTTGTATTTATTTTTAATTGTCCTAAAATTGGCTGGGTATTTTTTCTTTTTCATAATAAAGAATACAAATGTGGGAATCTTTAAAATCTATGACACATTAATTAAATTGAGTATTATATCCTATGTACTTAATTACCTAATACATAATTATTGTAATAATAAATCTACTGAAATTGTATCGTACAAAAAGTAGGGATTTATATTTATTTCCGTTTGTTGATATATTAAATATTTTAAAAATATTTTTTGTATATTGTTTATTGTATAGAAATGCTTTTTAAGCCAAGACAAAATCAAAATAAGTAGGTCATTTTTTTTGTAAAATGAGTTATCTAACATTACAGTATACTTTTCATGCACTTTTCAGTGCCATACCGAGGTTGTAACTTAACAGTTTTTTGTCAGTTATAAACATGTTTATTGGATTCCACCACAGAAAAATTAACACACTTATTACTTGGCTTGTAGTCCGTCGATATTTGAAACTACTTTTCATCCGACACACTTTGTTAAAAAAACTACTATATCTATAATGCACGACACGATACGGCACGTCACGAAACGACACGACAGGACACGACACGACACGAGACGACACGACACGGAGTAACACCCACATCAAAATTATAACTAGTGTTACAGAAAGGTGTATTGCAATGTTTAAGGGTAGAACATGTTTTTCAATTAATTTTGATAGTATTAAAAATTTATCAATACTGAACACATAAGTTATGTGGTACAAATAGCATCAAATTAAGGCATTTTGTTGATTGCCAAAAACACCTTAAACTACTATTACATCTTCTTGCAACAATAAATCTAATTAGGTATAAGTAAGCCGTTGCGTTAGGTGCCATTTCGAAATTACGTTCGGTGTCCTTTACGTATGCTTCAAGTATGTTGTTATGGGCAGGTAGGACTTGAAGAAGATTACTCTCGTCGTGAAAATGCGTAATTTTGTTTACGCTTATCCTTGTTCACATTACGACCATATTCTTTGGTCGAACATTTCCACAATTGCTTGGGGTTCCCTCCAATGAACACTTTCTTAACAACCACCTCGTCTTCATTGCGACGTCGCTGACGTGCAAGTCGAATTTTGGCTGATAATTCTTCACGTTTTTCCTTCGACATTGGCTCAGGATTTCCTAAAAATACAATGAAACTGAATTCATTTTTAAACTTGATTTATTAAAATTTATAAGCCGATTTAAAATGAAACGCACTTGGTAAGCAGGGTAACACCATATTCGAACCAAATAGACGACCATCCTCAGGAGTCACAATATTAAATTCATCTGTCGGTACGTTTGGATTAAAAATCTCTTCCAAATTTAGACCATGCGCGTTAGCAAATTTAGTGCGAGGCATATCATTTTTGTCTGGACCGCACATTTTGAACAATTCACACCACGACGCAGTATCCCGTCGAACTGGCGGAGCCAGACTGTCGATTCAATATCTGTTTCGGTCCTAGCGCCTGTTTGATGTGCGCTTCTCACTACATTCAAAGAAAATCTGCGCACTGTAAATACATAGAACAATTTGTCAAGGTACGGATGTGTGTTATGTATAACCAGGAGCGAATTCGGAAGTTCAGTGTCCTAAGGTACAAACTTTGAGCGAAATTAAAAGGGTGCTTAAGACAATGTAGATATTGTTCACGTATTTTATTTCAATGGCTTTTCATTTATGTTCGATGGAAGATTCTTTCATCAGAAGAATAATATAATAATATGTAGTTACAAATGAGTTACAATGTATTCTTTTTTTAACACATTGAAACGAGAGAGAGAGATAATCAGTTTTATTATTCAATTAAACAAGTTCATAAATTAATTTTCGTCTCCCACTTTGTTACTTGAGTGAGTTCCTGATGTAGCTCCTATAACTACATACATAGCATATATGAAGGTTTTAGAAATGTTACAGAAAAACGTCAAATGAAATAAGCTTGAACTGTCTTTCAGATAAAATTGATCGTCACCCAATTTCTCGAGGCAATTTTTAGTACTTCTTAATCTACGCAATATACCCAACTACAACATATGTAACAAAACAATCGCCACAAATCTAATATTTACATTTAGATATTCCTAATTTATTTTTGTAATAGAAACTACTAATTGTAACATTTTAATATATATGTGATTCTGAACGCGATATGTACGAATTGCGATAGGTAGCTTATATAATTTAGACTTTAAACTCTAGACCGATCAATAATGCGTGATTCTGTTGCATTTAATACAAAGCTCTTGTAAGGGATAGATGATTCGACACACAGTGGACGCTGAGGCAGGGGTAACGCAGTATAGTCTATATTTTGAACGTCCGAGTGTGTTAGTATGCCTCTCACTTACTATATCAAGTATTGGAGTTCCAGCCATGCGCAGAAGTCTAGACAAATCAATAATACATAACGCTAGGAGAGTAGAACATTCTAGAAAAACTATAATGGGTGGTGAGAAAATAGATAATAAATCTTTATGGGCTAAATAAGACCTCCTGCAGCATAAAAGCGCATGTAGCGTTATTAGTGGCATGTACTGCTACTAGCAAAACATCATAATACAAAATTCTTATTAATAAGAATTTTCTTTAATTTACTAGTCAGAACGGAACAGCACGACAAATAATATACTAGTCAAGTAAATTATTCAATAATATATGACCAGGGTATTTAAAGAACTGTAATTTTTGTAATGTGAAACTATTAAATTGGCAACACTGGGTTAGTTCCGACAATCATGTCCATAATGGATTCAGTCTCTTCATAATTTAAAGTCTGCAGCCAGTCATACACACTTTTATCAATTTTTAGTAACAGTTGGTTATATTTGAACATAAACAGAACATGACAACACAAAAAGTGTTTACTTTTAAGATCAAAATAAACTTTAATATTTTGTCATCCAGCGCACTAAATTGTAATGTGTGCATGCAAACACACGCAAATATATATTCTCGTTGTATTTGTAAAATTATATGTCCAATGTTGATCAATTGTGCAATAAGGCTGTTACGTGAGAGATGAAGGTATAGCAAAGGACAAGCGATGTGTAGGCTGACACACATACACACTAAGGACAGGGCGGGTTTCCATTAAAAAAATAATATATACTCATTGACTTACAAATAAATGGACGACGGGTCTAATACAAAAACCACGAAAAAAATGTCCCAAGTCAACCTATTCGAAATTTAAATTGTAATGTCATCGCAGTATCGCGCTGTCTGTAGAACAAGTGAAGACTAAAGCGGAGTGTCGCGCTCTGTATACGATTTTAGCGCCTTAAAAGTGCGGACACTTTTTAGCGCGGACCCGACGTCCATATAATTGTAAGTCAATGTATATACTAAATGCCTTTGCGTCCCTGTGGAAGTAACAGTTACAAATAATTTTGAAATAGCTTTATTTGTGAAATATAAAGTTTTGTTTTAAAAATGTACGTGTCCATTACTGCTTTTGGTAAAGTATATTTGAATAGATAAAAAATAAGACAACGTGTAAAATATCAAAAGCAGACATAATGAACTTCTTTAACTTTATTCGCTCATTTTCCCTATATGAGAGTTTTTATATATTTTCTGTAGTTTTTTTTTCACCGTTACACATAAAAGTGCTATTAGAAAACTAAATTATACGACATTATTATGACCAAAGACTGGTAATAATAATGTTGGTGGCTCTATACATTATAGTTAAGTCTGACAATCAAATGTGAATCACAGAGCCACCAATACTATCACACTACACAGTCTTATTTGTAGTTTTCTAATTATCACTATTTTAACGGTGAAGGGAAACTTCCCGAGCACGAGACGAAACCTTGCAACATCCCTCTCAAAAGGAGAACTGTATATAGCAGTGGGACGTATAGTATATTGATGCACAATTGTCTACAAATCGGAATATTTCTTTAAAAAGCTATTTCAAAATATCGTAGGTTAATGTTTTGTTCGATATTTTATTGAGTAGGTAATGTAATAATTTTGGACAGACAACATCCTGACATTCAATAAAAACTTAATTAAAATTAAAAGCGACATCTCTACCCAGCTGGTGGTAGCTGTAGAGATATCTCACTGGGAGAAGAGAAATATCTCACTGGTAGAAGAAAATACTTTTATAGAATTCTCACAGATGGCGTTACGGCAAATAAGTTTTTAAAACTATAAACAAAGATCCGTCAACAGGCACATTGAAAAATTCCTGAGGTTCGTTCGTTCCGTGGCTTAGTTGGCATAGCGTCTGGCACGGTTTGCTAGGAGACGTCGCGTCGTCGGTTCGAATCCAGCTAAATCGAAGGAATTTTTTCTAAGTGTTCGATCTTTGTATTAATGAATACAATATTGTTAAGGTCTTATTACTTATATCAAAGAGGCGAATTTTATGTAATGCATCTGAAGGCAAGGGTTTGTTGCATCACCATTACGCATGTGCGCGAAATCCCCGGGCCGAGCGAGCTCCGAGTTGCATACAAGGTACCAGGGCATCATAAATACATGGAAGTGGTAAAGTCTAGACCGATCAATATAGCATCCGCCCGGACAGGGGGGTTTCAGGAATGTGGAGGTAGACACTTTATTTTTAATTTTCTTTTAAAAAAGAAACAAGCTCACTATGGGTCTCGATTCAACAAGTTTTTAGTAAGCTATCTACAGTATTTCTTTTCTCTACGTTATTGCCTGAAACAAAGAAACATAGCTTTCTGAAATGTGACTATTTCTAATTTAATTAATTTATTAACTATTATTAAACTATTGTTATTTTCATGAATTTTTCTTTAGCTCATATTAAAAATGAATATCAAGACGCAAGCTAATCCATTTACAGGTAAATAAATATAAAGATTATTGTTGCATAACCACTGTTTATTATATTATAAATTTAGACACTTTTTGAACTTAGGTTCTGCTTTTACCAATCGGTAAAACTGTCTGTATTTCGAGTGAGGTCGATTGGTGGAAAACAACATAAACACCTAGAGCATCGTAAATTATACTAAGTTTTTTTCACCGTTTTTTCAAGTTGGTCCATAGTTTTATTTCATTGTCAATCATGTCAATACTACAATCGATTCGAGTGCAACCAACTGTTGATGGCTACATACGGTCCCGTTGACAGGTAAATGTTGTTCGATATTACTTACACATACGCTTGGTTTCCGGTTGGTATTGCAGATTCTACAATAAAATGGCACCAAAAAGAGTAATATCGAACAAACATAGTGGTCCTTCTTTGTGCCCTGCGGGTGACTATTAATGCAGTTGCATTGTCTCTAACATGGTAATTGTATTAGTGCAATTATGATCACAGCTGATTGATGTTGATAGATTTCAAAACAGAGTGCTTAATTCATTTGTCCTTAATTTATTCGATAGCACAGATTTGAATCTTCTTTTTTTTGAAAGACTGGGAGGTTTCAAGTAACAATAGAATTAAGAGTTTTGATGATACCACATTTAGATCTTTTATTAATGAAATACCTACAAGTAGGTTTACTCTTTAAATTCCGAAGTATCATTATGTGCAAATTCATGTAATGTTATTTTATCTAGTTCATAGATTTTCGCGATTGTTACTTGGAAATATAACTATTTTCTCGGATTGTAATCGCGCATATTTGTTTTTTAAATGATTCAACGATTCGGCCATTTTACAGGTCTCATTGTCACGGCTGACTGAGATGGTAAAGTCAACAACCAATTATGTCCAATATTAATGCAAACCACCCTATATTTCATTATTGTTACAAAAGTTATTAATTTAAATACCTACTTTTTTTTAATTTACCAAAGCACATTTCAGCCCCCGGGCAGTACTAACATTCGGAAAAGGAATTAGGTTATTAGGATATGCTGTGTCGATTGCAAACTATTATTTTGCGGTGACGAGCAGGGGTTTCTACTAAAATTTAAGGTGCATTTTCCAATGCATCAAATGCAAATAACACAATATGCGATGGACGGTCACTTGATACAAACCTATGTTTGAGCTTCAGTTAGTGTTTACCACGTTTTTTAATAATATATGTTTATAATATTAAATTGCTCTTGAAATCCCTAAGCCTATAATTGGGTGGCTTGCTCGTAATAGTAAACTTAAAAACTACTAACATTGTTACGTACTACTTAATTTTTCATTTAGTGTTTGAAAAGCGGGGCAAGTAAAAATCAATGATTGACTGACATTTCGTGGTCCGTAAATAGTAACAGCTAGTATATTTAAAAATAAACTAAACAGAGCCTAGGTGGAAACTCCGATGGATAAAGATTACCTCAAAAAGTGTTTCTGTACGTTCAAAAATTAATTCAATTATATCTGCATTCCACGTTCTAAATTGCATGTGTGCAAGCAAGCACCTACACACTATGAAACATATTCTTGTATTATTTGTAAATTTACATGTTCAAAGATAAGCAATTTGTAATAAGGCTGTTGCGTGAGAGATGAAGGTGTAGTAAAGGACAAACAATGTGGTGACTGACACGTAAATACTCTAGGGGCAGGGGGATTCCATTAATAAAGAAGTATAATACTACATTTTTTGCGATCCCGTGTGAATTATATTAGATCATATCAGGAAATAATTTTAATTGTGAAAGACCGAGTTTTGTTCAGGAAATTCATGAGCAGTACGACTACGATATAATATATAACCTCTTATATCGAAAATCGTTGACGACATGTGAAGTTTCCAACCCGCATAACCAGAGTAGCAGGCAATGAGTTTTAACGCATTACCCCCTGTAGAAGAGACCTGTGTGGTGAACACACTACTGTGCTGCTTTGTACTTTAGTTGATGTTGTCTATTTATGTAATCTGAAAACGGCCCCTTGGAACATTTCTCAAAATTTTTCTTAAAAGTTATTTTGAAATATAGCAAGTTAATTAATTACTCAAGAAACGGAACGAAAGACTCCCAGACACTGTTTAATTTTTGTCTTGTAAAGACAAAAATCTGTTAAAGGCAAACTGGACAGCAACGATCGATGATACAATATTGTTAGATGTTAGTTCTTGTCTTATAAAATGTAAATAATATGTAATAAACCTCAAGTCAAAGGTCTGTTGCACTACTATTACACATGCCTCCCAAATGCTCAGGCAGAGCGAGCTAGTCGTTGCGCACAGGGTATCAGGACATCATAAACACTGGGAAATAGTAAGAGACTAGTCCAGACCGATCAATAAATGCATTCACCTCTTAGAGTATGGAAAAAAATAAGATTAACCCCGAAAGGGAGTTATCAAGAAAACCGAAAACTGCTCTGTCTTGAAAACTGAAACTGAAAACTTTTCCTTGGAACATTATTTATAATTATTCTTAAAATCCTGAGTTAATTTACTTGAAGCGGAACAAGGTATGTGCATCAGAATGTACCCAAAATCCCTTGAGTATATGCGCGAAACGTTGCATACAGGTCACCAGGACATCATAAATATTAGAAAGTAGTAAAGCACTAGTCTAGATCGATCAATACCACCATCCACCCATCATCAATCATATTCAATTTTAACGGACTTTTTAAAATGAGGTTGTGCAGTACTCTAGATCGACATCTATCTGTTCCATTTATTTTAGTAGGAAAAAGCGCAATAGGATAGATGTATCCACACTCACATAGAAGTAAGGGTTGGGGATTTGACGTGTACGAATGAAACACAAATACATTTTAGTAGATTTGCAGACGACTGAGGTAACGTTAGTTGTCATCCTTGCACCAATACTGCGTTTCTGATGAACTAAGGGATGCACAATATTGCGATAAACAAGTTCTGAATGTAAACGGTATCCGGATAGAATTAGTGTTCATGTTTGGAGTACAGTCAACTATCACTTATATCACTTTTAATTTCATAGTATTTAGCCAGTGAAGCTCTTTAAATTAACGGGCCTTTCACTATAAAAGGACTGCTTATTTATTTAGGTAACTTATTTGTTACACCCTTGACCTGGGTCAATGGTTATACCCTTATGTTTTGAACGACATTAAGGGAATATTTGTTTTAGTTTAACGTTTCAATTATTCGAGTTGAATTGTTAATTATTGCTAACTGATATTGGGCACGTTTTATTTCGGCAAAAGATTTTCTTGTATATGAATTGACAGAAAGTTGTGAGATGTTTTTGTGTAATTTTTTCCTAAAACTAAAAAAGTACGTTGTCTTTTCTTGTTAGGTGTGTCAAGTGATACCTTTCACCGACATTTATTTCTAAGTTTTAGATACCTAAAACTTAGAAATAAAGTAAACATAATCCGATAGAATAATAGGGCATGTAATTTGAGTAAATTTTACGAAAACTTAATATGTACCTAACCTTCGTAGTTAAGTGTACATCGTATGGTCTGCGGGCAAATGAATTGTTGAAATCCTCATCTATGCAGAGTTTATTTTAGAAAAAGGTACCAGGATGACAGGAAATACTAGGAGGAGTTCCATATTACAAACTATTATTTTGCCGCAGGTTTCCACAAATAGTTGACATAATATGGTTGTCATGCATTTACACCAAATGCAATGGACGTCTATTTGGTACTAACCTATGGTTATATTTCAGCTAGTATTTACTAAACTCTTAAACTATTTATAACGTCAAGACATTTTATCACCACGAACATTCACCTGTAATGTAAAGACAAGACGACCTCGGTGGCCTAACAGCTTACATTGTGGGCGCTGGATTCGGAGGTCCCAGATTCGATTCCTGGTAGGACCAATTTGCAAATGAACTTTCTTAGTTAGTTCTGACTTCGTTGTTCTGGGAAGTACCCCGGAGTGAATTCCGTTGCTCTGGTACTCTGGCACTAGTACTCATATTACAAAAAATCCCTAGTTAGAGACCAGGCAATTGGTGTGGTTGTCTGGCACATATTATTAAAAACATACTAAATTACTCTTGAGCCCTAAGCCTATATTGGATGGCTATTTCACAATTAGTTTTAGAAATGGGGGGCAATTAAAAAAACAATAACTGACTAGTATTTCGTGAGCCGTAAATAGTGAGAGCTGCACATATGTGGACATGAACAAGACAGAGCATAGGTGAAAGCTCTGACGGACGATGATAATACAAAAAGTAGTAGTTTATTTTTACGTTCAAAATTAATTTAATCATTTCGGCACACTGTGTACTAAATTGTATGTGTGCAATCAAATACCCGCATATATATGGAAACATATTCTTGTATTACTTGTTATTTTACGTGTCCAACGTTAATCAATAGTGCAATATGGCTGTTGCGTGAGAGATAAAATGCGTAGTAAATGACAGACAATGTGGTGTGGCTGTAATGGTTGACACATGGACGCTATAGGGGCAGGGGGAATTCCATCAATAAAAATATGTAGTACTGTAGTCTAGGCTCTACTCTATGAGTAGAATTACTGGCTGAGTGAGTATAGTTTTATATTTAGAATGTGTTTTGAAATAGGAGATCAGACAGAAAAGAAGAGCATCTTAATAGTTCAAGATGTAACCCCAATA